CTAGGCATACGTGTTGTATAGTTCCGTATAGTGCCCTCTGGTCTACGCAGCAAAAATTAAATTAACTTTTTAAAAAGAAATTCTGGTGTAACTCCTAATTGATCCAAGGAGGACGGACATCTGATTGTTCAACATCATCACCATGAGCATAATATTATATAGGCCCTATATATAATATGGAATCGATATAATATTATGATCTCCACCGTCTCCACCCCACAACATTTCATCTCATGCCATGTCATTATAATAGGGCCTATAAGTCACTTGGATTTAAAATAAAGAAAAATAGCCAAACAATATAAAGATAGTTTTTTAAAATTTAAAACGAACGCTTTCCAACCGTAAATTAACCAGGATTATTATTACCCCTATTATTATTGTTTTGGCATTCGATTTGACGTGTGTGGATCAGTGGACATGTGTGTATTGTTTTTTTTAGAATAATTGTTCTCCACACGGGGATCCAACTTTTTACCCACAATGCGTTTCCTGTACATAATCATAAGTTGATACAAGAGAGTTCCACAACTCACAGACTACACTACTGCCGTGGAACCTATTTCCGCAAAGTGGTACAGTGACTGGATTGTGTAGCCGACTTTGCAATGGATTCATATGATGTTATAGCAAACCAGCCTGTCGTCATAGACAATGTAAGTATCAAAGTATAAGATTTTGATTTGATTAGTGTGATTATTGATATGTTTCTTTGCATGATGTCAGATCTCAGTTCATACTCATTCACACCTGTCGCTTTTTACGATCGATGGAAAAGCAGCAGCCGTTTCTTTTGCTATGTTGTTGGCTATGTGCGATGAGTCACTTCAGTTCAGTCACTGATCTTGATTGAATTATTTTCTTCGGATCTTAATGTGTTTGGACTAGAAAAAATAAATGCGTAATGCCTACTGCCAATATCAAGACATGGATTCTAGATCTAGGCTGAAAATCTGGCTAAAAAAAGTGTGACTGAATCTGACCCAAGACCAAGACTGGTAAAATTCAGAGGCAGCAGCAGCAATGTCAATTCGGAGGTAATGATAAGATGACAAGATCTAGATCTAGATCTAGAATGCAGTCCAGTTCATTTGCAGTTTTTCGGCAGTAGATCTAGATCTAGTAGTGTGTCAATGGTGCATTGGCAAGATACCTATGACAGCAATGGTGCATTGAGCATTTGCCAAAGTGCCAAAGGGAGACCCGGGAACAAAGTCACAAAGTATACAGACCCGGTAGGGGAACTCTTTTGTGATTTCGGAAAGTTTCAGGGGAAGGTTGAAGAATACCGGACCACTCGTAGGCTAGATAGCTATACATTATTGCGCGAGAATGTGGGGTGGGTGGGTTTCAGGGGGGTCTCCCCCCTGACAAAATTTTAGGAATAGATCTACGGGTCCGAGATTCTCCATTGAGAGATAAAAACTGGGGAAAATCATGAATTCCTAAGGTTGAGACATAGAGGCAAAGTCAGTCCACTGGTCCGGTATTCTTCAATCTTACCAGTTTCAGCGCCCTCTTGGCTCAGGGGGTTAGGGTAGGCTCCTTTTGGAGTAGGCCTAGACCTAGGTTTTTCTAGGTCTATGGCCTATGTCAAGATCTAGACTGACAGACATAATCATTGATCTAGTTGCGAGGTTAGCCTAGATCTAGAATCTAGATTTCTAGATCTAAATGAAGATTGCGGATGTCTTTTCGATGAACAATGTTTTTCCTCCGGTTTTTTTTGGAGTTGGAGGAATCACAATTTGAAGAAAAGAACTGTCATAATTTCAATCGAGCAGTCACCCCCCCCCCC